AGGGCAACAGCGGCATTGACAGGGGATGGGAAATTCTGCAGCTTAAATAGATTTTAAATAGATAACCAGATTGGAAGGGTGTGCTTCATTAGTGATTATGGAGTGAGGCATGTCATGTTTGTATAGCACATAGTTCACACTTTTATTTCCTCTCGCCTTGAATAATGCAATTCTCTCTATGTAGGAATCAGTCAATCGACTTTATCTTGCCTGCAGCTGGGTCAAAATGCAGCAAAACTTCTCACTGGTACCAAGAACTCTCTTCACTGTTTACCAGCACTGCATGGACAAGAACCAGGCTACATCTCTGAACAGCACATCCCCTATTCCACCTCTTGACTGGATCAGGTGACCAATCAACTGAATCAAAAAACTGCTCTCCATTCCACACACCCAGTTAAAAACCAAAGGTGATCAAGCATTTTGTTAATTTACTTTAATTTACTTATATGCTCTTATTTACATCTGTTTGTTTTTTTGTGATTGTAACCAAAATAAGTAAAACAAAAATCAAGTCAATAATGCCACTACAGATTTGGTAAGAATCTCACTTCTCTCCTCTAAAAAGAATTCATAAGTTGCATTTTTTTTCTTCTTTTTTCTTTAGTATTTATATATTTTAAATGGACATCACATTATTCCCTAGTGGAGGATTACACTTTCCAAAATGTTAACTGACCTCCGTGGGTGACAGTGCATCCTTCCACATGTGAATGAGTTTACAGAACATACTGAAGGGGCCACACTTGGAGATCTTTCTCAGTCGTCCAATCACCGATAACTCAGAGTAGGTCATCCCCATGTCTGCCTGAGGAGGAAGGTGTGGTGGTGGTTAGTTTTTTGCTACCTTAGAATAAGCTGTTTTATCTACAGAGGGAGCGGGTCCTCTTCTATGGAGTTCGCCATTGACTTAACTGAACTGCCATGTTTCTACAGTAGCCAAAAATGGACTACCAAACACTGTATCTAGATAGACAGGGTCTTGTTTTGTGGCCACTGTAATTTCTCATAGATGTTTGCAATGATAGAGTGAGGCAAGGGTGTTGTAGTGTGCAGCTGCACCACCAGATGCCACTGAATCCTACACAACGGACCTTTAAAAGGTCTACAGATACACAATATATCAATTTCTTACCTCGTCTGTTTGTGACACTTGTCCGTCTGTCAGTGGCTCCAGTTCAGCTGTGGGCGGAGCGGCCAGGATGCTGCACATATGCATTTTTCATATAGTCATTACTATGACTATAGCCAGACTTCAAACAGCCCATGAATTCCTCAATTTGCACCATTAAAATACAACATTGCATTAAAGATACTGCACAGGTTTCAAAATGATTAAAACCTGAGTTTAATTTGAAGTTAGAAACAGAAGCCAAAAGACAACATCATCACAAAATAACAGTTAAACTATTCAAAACTCAATTGCATTGTTTACAATACATCACCACAGTTAGAGCCACCTGAAGTAATTTGTCCAGTCTGCACAGCCATCTAGGTAGCTACATTACTGAACTGGTTTGTTCACATAGCGTGGAAGTTTAGAAACAGAAGTAAGAGGTTAATGCTAAATACCGCAATCTCTACAATTTGCCTCAAAAGTAGAATCTCTCTAAAATCATCAGATTGCCCACTCCTACTATATATAGAAGGAACTGTCTGCGGGCTCAGAGACAGGATTGTGTTGAGGTGCAGATGTGGGGAAGGACAGTGGCCTCCATGATTATAAAGTGAAAGAAGTCTAGAACAGTCATAGAACTGAATTATAAAGTGTCTGTCTGGCCAAACTTGGAATTGGGGGAGAAGGGCTTTGGTAAGAGAGGTGACCAAGAACCCAATCATCACTATGGCTCAGCTCCAAAGATCCTGTGTGGAGATGGGAGAAACTTCCAGCATTGTGGGGGTGTTTTTCGGCAGCAGGGACAGGAGGACTGGTTAGGGTTGAGGGAAACCTGTTAACCTTAATAAAACCTTGTTCAGGGTGCTCAGGACCTAAGACTGGACCAAAAGTTCACTTTCCAACAGGACAATGACTGTAAACTCACAGCTAAGACAATGCAGTTGCAACAGTTCAATCTCTCTACAACTGTCAGCTGAACTTACCCTCTCAGAGCAGTAAGCTGGAACTGCTCAACGCAGTACAGCAGGAAGCTCTTCAGGTCGGTCTTGCTGATGCCTCCTATTGGGTTGATGTCAGCACTGGAGCAGTCGTACTTTGTGAAATATCCTGTCAGACTGAGCAAGAAAAGTTATTTATTGGGAGAAAAGTTAATTATCTTACAAAGAGGTGAAAAAGAGCCTTCATCTTTTTGTAGTTGCACGGCTTTAGCTAGACTAATAAGGTTTTGTGGCTGCCGTTTGACCACTGAATAGAACATTTATATTTGTGAATAAGCCTCAAATTAACATCTGTTACCAGCAGAAGTAGCTAAAGTACACACATTCTTTAATCTTTCAATTTTTAGAATTGATTTTTATTCAATTTAACTTTATTTCAGACACATAGGTCCAAATTAACATAAAGTGTCAAAGTCCAAAGGGACTAAAACACATACAGCCATTTGTTCCAGTGTTTCCAAAGACAAGGAGTCGCTTTATGTCAGTTTGCGTAGGCTGGGTTTAAGCTGTTATGATTGCATTTTTTGACTCAAGTAGAAGTACAGATAATTGTGTAAAAGACTCAGGTAAAAGTAGAAGTAAGGATTCTTTACTCAAGTAAAAGTGAAAAAGTACTGGCTCAGTACTTTCAAAGTAAAAAATAGTAAAAAGTACTCTCTTCAAAAGGACATTTCTACCGGCTGTTTCTGTGCAAAGATAACTGAAATTTCCTCTCTGTCTGTTTAGTCTTGTGTAATATGAACCGGTCTTGATACTGGGAAGCGTGCAATTATGCAAATATCAGTCCCTTCTGGATTTCATGGACTTTTCTTGGGATTGTTGCAGCCTAAAACTCTGCATGTTGCTATGTTTTTAGGCTTCTCTTTTTTGCAGTAGTTGTAATTTATTTTCAAACAATTCATAAAAAATCGAAGGCAACTTGCTCCAGTGAGAATAAAATCGCTAGTAGTTTGGTGATATATGGCTCAACATTTTACTATGATTGGTGAAACTCGCGGGGAAATACAATGATTAGTGAAATTTGTGTAAAAGTTGTGTTGATTGGACAAATTGCAAGTTGAGAAGAACACAAAGTGATTGGGTTAATTTGCTTAATTGTTGCGATTGCATCTTCCTGGAGGGAATGAAAAACAAATAAAATTTCAGAATTTCCCTCAGATGCACTCAAACTGAAGTAATGAGTCTGTGTTGAAAATGTAAACAGTAGAAAGTTCAGATATTTGTGTAAAAATGTAGGGAGTAAAAGTAAAAATTAGAAGTAGAGTACAGATACCAGAAAAAAGTACTTAAGTACAGTATTTGTATTTAGTTAATGCCCACCTCTAGGTACCAGGTGTTTAAACCAAAAGCAGCTCTGCATTAAAATACATCAGGGGCTGTGATGGTGGGGGCATGTGGTGAGTCAGTGAAGTACCATCAGAGAGGACCTGACTGCGCCAGATGGTTTGGCAAGTCGTTGTTGAAGAGAAGGGCAGGCATTTTGAAAAAATACTTGACAGGTGATTGGATGAACCATCTATCACAGGCGACCTTCAACCAATTAGATCAATGAAC